GTGTATTATTTGTCGATCAAAGTAATATCAATATTAAGTTGGAATTCATCATAGACTGGTATTCGTTGGAGGGGTATCGAAAACCTGGGAGCACTGGACAGCTGTCACACCTTAGCACGTGGCTTCTCAGCAGTGATCACTCATGACCCCGCCAGGGATCGAACCCAGAACCTTCAGGTTCTGGAGTCAGCACATCACCACTGAGTCACTGGTTCGGAACCCAACTGTCCGTATTTCTAACTTCTGTCAGTTCACGATATAGCGCGACCATTACCCACTGTCATCGTTGAGTATTTGTCCTCATGGACACCAGGTTTGCCCCACTGGTCATGACTTCTCATTGGAAGTTTAGGAATCACTTCTCAAAGCTAGTTACCAATGAGCTCTAAATTAAATGTATCTGGAGGTTTGTGGGGGTTTATTTATTGATCTCAAGTTGGAATTCATCATAAATCGACATCATTTGGAGGAAAATTGAAAGGCACGCTACTGAAGATTGTCACACTGGGGCGAACAAGATGTCCATTACTCTCAGGTTTTCAATGGTCTCCCAACTGATGTTAGTCTGTGATGAATACCAACTTGGGGTTGACATCATTCACAAAGCCTTCAAGTACTGAACAGTTGTTTCATCCCAGTTTGAGACTTATGAACAATGTACGTCCATAATCTAGTGACAGCTGGAACTAAGGGTCGTTGCTGGGTTGGATTGCAATACTAAGCTCACTTTTTCCGAATTCCATCAACATGATGACAATTTTATATCGTGACATGCAGCGTTCATCGTGTTTCATGTGAAATGATTTAAGATTGAATCTGTTTGTCGAAGGAAATGTAAATAAACGCAGTCCTTATTTTTGATGTCCTCTTCAGTCGTTATTATTTATGTAACAATGAGAAAATAAAGGTTATTTATAGGATGCTATGTGTAGAAGAAGGTGACTAACCAAATTGGCTGTGTGGATTGTGGAACATTAGGGGAAGACATGTTAGTAAGTTATCACTTCATCTGTTATGACTTAGTCGCCTAGTGGGAGACGTGTGGCATTTGAAGCGATTAGTATCAGGTTTAAGTCTTAGTGGAGACAACATCATTCACTGAGAAGCGGATATATCCAGCTGACGAGTCTCAAGTAGGACGAAATGGGCTTCCTAGATTCCACTGCTAACCACTATTCATCACGGCTATCAGGAAACACGTTACTGTCAAGAACCAATCCGTTGTTGGATTTCAAGAAAGAATGATAGATGAGATAGCCACTGAATGCATTGAACTCATCTGTTGAGTTTATTTTGAAATCATTAATGTATCTTAGTACCGAAAAGAATATTTAACAAAAAAATAAATAATGACCATATGATGGATATTAATGAAAGAGAATAAACTATAAATGACCATAGTAATATATGATTATTCATTACTGTTAAAGTAGGTATAAAACTTGAGCACTGTGGTAGAATTCAACTTCATATAAGATTTGTTTATTTGATTTATAACACACAGTGAATGAAAGAGTATTATTTACTTGATGACGTTTTGAGCATACATTGTTGCTCATAATCACATCAATGTAACCACATAGCACTTTCAACATTTGACTTTTATAGTCCTGTCACTTCTTATTCTTTGTTTCTATTGGTAGTAACATTTTCCATATCTCCGTTATAGGTGTAACGTCTTTTCTGTTACCTGTGTTGGTTGAGTGTTGATAAGATAAACAAAGATTCAGTAACTAATCTCTCTTTCCATCTTTATCTAATTATATTGGACTGAAGTACAGTGGTTTCATCTCACCCTATTATGTGGTTGTATGTTAATGCATGCAGTGCAATAGCCGAGTGTTTTTCTAGATTATTGATCTTATTCGGGTATGTCATTCTATATTAGGCTAAATTCCTATGTTCCGATGATCTAACTGACTCCAACTGGTTAGTTCAACCTATGTACATGACCTCGCAGTCATTAAATGGGATTTAATAGATTAGATTACTTTGCTTAATCGGTTCTACCGCATCCTTAAGCCAACCGACAAAGCTTATCTCTGGGTGAGTTCCAGCTTTGTTGACGATCCTACGTAAAGTTTCTGATGTAGCTTCCTTATAGGGTAAACTGTGGAGAATAACCAGTAATTATTAGCGCTTCTTTCATGTGCTTCAGTTCCTCAGTTAGGTCCTTGCACTGACTGGTCAGTTTTTTAGCTCTATCATTTAGATATTTGACTAAACCTGCCTTAACTGACATTGGATGAAATGATTTAAAGTCTAGATACCTGTTAGAATGTGTTGGTTTTCTGTAGACGGTAATATCCAAACCACTGACTGTCCTTCGTTTTATTCTGTAATTCAATATAGCTAATTCTCCGTGTTCATTTTCTACCTCGTAAGTGAACTGGATTGCACCTGACCACTGAGTTTATATGTGTGAGGAAATTGTCGATATGTTCTGATTTCAACATAGTAAATGTGTCATTCACATATCGCCACCATATCTTAGGTGCGGGATTAAACGTTTGTAAAGCGCTATGTTTTCCCGACTATTCGTAAGTATATCTGCTAATTGTATCATTATGTGTTATGCGTCAAACAAACAAACCAAATATGGGATTATACCCATTACTTTATTTATTTTCAAGTGTCGGTGCAGTTTTTAATTGTCAACTTCATCGACTGTAAAGAATGACACATTCGAACAAAGAAAGAAGGATGAAATTTGCAGAATAAAATGATATCATCATTTTATTTCACGAATACTCTTCAGCCGTATACATTCAAAAAGTGCGATAGTTATTAAGACATAAGATATTTCAATAATCTCAAGTTGCATAACAGAATCATCGATAATACGCATAACGTGTAAGAAAATTCATTATAAAAAGATAGGAAATGTAAGAAAGGGAAAATAATGATAATCACATGCAGGTGAATTGTTTGATAAGCTCAACGAGGCTCGTCCTAACATTATATTTACGATGGAATATGAGCATAGAAACGAGTTCAACTTTTTGGACCTCAATCTGAGAAGAGGAATTGATGGTAACATCTACCAATGTGTATCACAATGCTTAGCCTCCTAGCTTAATGGCCATAATGCAAATATGATCAACTCAGAACTAGACAACATGAAATTCGTTGTTTTCCTGTGACCGATCAGTGTATGTAACCCTGATCCTACTGGTGATCAACCGTGACCCGAATAGCTCAGTGTTAACATTGCTGACTATAACACTGGGTTTGGATATCAGCTGGGATATGAGTCCTGTCCGAGGTTGCAGATACACCTTGCTGATGAGTACCAACAAAAGCACAAAACCTGGGTCCCCAGCTTCCTCTCAATTGCCTCCAACAAACTCACCAATACCAAGACTAAAAAAACCGTTCATAGAAAAGATACATGAACTGGACAATACCTTGACTATGACAAGATCTGGGGTAAGGCTAAAAGTTATCCCTAGATATTCTCGTGCTTAAGTTGTAGCTTTTTTTGTGGTCATGCACAAATTTTCTGTGTTCTGTATGAATATTTAACTTATTTGTGTTGTTTTTACAATGCCATCTATCAGCGAATCGTGTTCAGTGCTGTTTATTCATGTACAAAGTATTGGTTCCACTTCTTAAGCGAAAAGTAAGTATAGTTATTTAGGATGAATGATGCTTACAGATCATAAGTGAGTAAGTTGAGGCTTCAAATTCCATGACACAGAAAACACACCTTTTCACGTAAAACGCTATAACATCTGCGGATAACTTTTAGCCCCACCCCAGTTTTTATTCCACCAGCTGTAAGCGTGAGTAGTGAAAACACTTTATAATGGAGCTAGAAAATTATGTTCTGCGAATAAGTTAGAGAAAGAACTAAATATTATTGAGTATTGTATCAAAGAGAACTGATATCCTAAGAGATTTATTATGAAGTATGGAAAAGAAGAGATTGAGAAAAATCAATGCCCAACTGTGGAAAAGAATAAAGTTTTTATACATTTCATATTCAAGGAAGATGTAGTATCTAAGCGAACAGATGCAAGAAGCAAAGAAGCTCTCATGCAGTTAAATCTTCCTCAGCATACAATACCACATGCTTGTTAAGCCAGTAAAAATTGATTAATTTCTCTGCTCATATCACCTACCAATTGTATTTATCAATTCACATGCACTTGCGGTAGCCAGTACATTGGTAGGACTGAGAAGAGGATGTTCATTCGGTTCTTTGAGTATATCCCCAAGGATCTGCGCTTGAAAGGAAGTAAAATTCTAACTAGTGCAATCGATAGACACCTCTTACACATAGGACATCAGGCTGAAATCCTTTTTAAATAATAAATGTACAGAGAATTACTGCGCTTCTCAAAAGCGACTGCAATAAAACGCTTTCGGCCCTGACCTTTGTATATAAAAGGAAAGTGGGGTTAATCTCTCACACTCTTAGTGTCTACGATCTGATTGCATTTCATTTTAATTAAATAACTATTTAGACGTAGTATCCATCACAGACTGATATCAGTTAGGGAACCATTGGACATTCGGGAGCACTGGACAGCTGTTTCGTCCTAATATGGGACTCCTCAGCAATACGCTTCCATGACCCGGCTAGGAATCGAACTCAGGATCTTTAGTCTCCACGGCAAACGCGTTAACCATTCAGCCACTGAAAATTGTGAACCATTGAAAACCGACTCAGTGGATGAATGGTTAACGCGTTCTCCGTGAAACCTGAAGATCCTGAGTTCGAATCCTAGCCGGGTCATGGAAGCGTATTGCTGAGGAATCCCATACTAGGACGAAACAGCTGCTCAGTGCTTCCAGATACTCAATGGTTCCCCAACTCATCAGTCCGTGAGAAATTTAAACATTCAAGGTGTCACTCATCTAAGAAAATCGTGAGAAACTGGAAAGGTTATTTTAGAATAAAATGCATAATTTTGTGTATTTCAGTGCATAATTCAAGATTATTTTAAGCATGAAAATATTTAATGAGTAGGTGGGATAATCTACTCGATACTTACATGTAATCCTGTAACTGTACATCCTATTCCAAGGATATATCCACTGTACGTATTGACATAGTCAACAAACAGATAAAAACAACCCTGTACAACAGAAAAGATGTAAGCATGTAAATATTTGATAGGAGAGTGAATACTAGTCGGGGTTATTACAACTACTGAAGACCTGTCAGTTAAATATACTTGCATCTAAGTAGGTTTGCTGTTTTTGTTCAGATTCATACTGAAGATCCATCGCTTCAGATATCAGTTTTATCCATTAGAGTACTAATTTAGATAGCTAGTCCATATTCAATAAGTAAAGCTGTCATAAACCCTTGGTGCATAGAACCGTGTTATCACTCTTACAAATGGACTGTTTTAGGTTGGAATTCATCATGGATTGACATAAGTTGGAAGAAAATTGGAAACATGATAACACTGGACAGCTATTTCGTCTTAGCACGGGACTCTTCAGCAGTGTACACTCATGACCCCACCCCGTCAGGGACCGAACCCAGGTTCCGGAGTCAGGACATCACCATTGAGCCATTCGGTCGGAAACCAATGATCTATATTTCCTACTTATTTCAGTTCACGATATAGCGTGACCTATATCCAGTATCATCTTTGAGTTGCTGTTTTCATGTTTGACTTGGTTGACTCCATTGGTCACGACTTCTCATTATAAGTTTAGGAATCACCTCTCGAAGCTAGTCTCCTGTTGTGATGCCCCAGTTTTGTACAAAACACTTATTGATCTGAACATTTTAACGTGTCATTCCGACACCATTTTTACTGTATGACTAATGGTCTGCTTTCTGCCCCATTGTAATGTAAATCGCTAATTGGTTAATCTTTACTCGTACTATGCAAATGCCTCAAATTGATGACAAGGTCATTTTTCATGTATGTACTTATTCACGTGTTTGGGATTGATTCGTTGTTATTATATTATATTGTCGGAGTAATACACTCTCCCATCATCCAGCTTCCGTCTTCTCTCTATTCGTCCCGGGGTTGCAGTCAGTGTCTCTTGCGTACGAAGTTAGCTGTCAGCTAAGCGTGCGTATTATATTCGTTCCGGAATATATACATATACCATTAGCGTTCGAAACCATAACATCACCAATGAGCGCTAGATTAATTGTATCTGGAGGTTTATTAACTGAGGACAGTTACTCAACGACGACACTGGGTGTAGGTCTCGCGATTGTGAACTGACAAAAGTAGGAAGTGAGGACCATTGGGTTCTGACCCAGTAGCTCAATGGTTATGGGAGCTGAAGGTCCTGAGTTCGATCCCTGGCGGGGTGGGGTCATGAGTGCACACCCCTGAGGAGTCCCACACTAGTGGGACGAAACAGCTATCCAGTGTTACTAGGTTTCCAATGTCCCTCCAACTGATGTCAGTTTATGATGAATCTGAACCTAAAATCAATTGATAAACCTCCAGATAGAAATGAACTATTTGTTTAAATTAATCATCACTGGATAACCGCTAGTTTTGAAATTCAAGAATGTCTATGCCCAAAGATCAGTAGCTGAAGATTACAAGATGCACTGATTTCAACTCATACACTTTGTAATGCAATAGTTAAAGAAAATTGGTGGAAATGTCGAGACATAGTAATAAACAAGAAAGAAGGTTGCACAGAGTATCAGTTGATGTCTTTATAATCAGATTTCAAGCAAGATGACAGCTCATCAAAGACTATGGCAATACTATCCAAGGTATAATGGAAAAGTTTTAGTAATCACATGCTTCTCTGCCCTGCCTTCATAGTCAAACGTTTCTGTAAAACTCAGTCAGGGATAACAACTACCGTTTTCATATCCACGAACATTCCACGTGGGTGAGCATTACCAGAAGTTATTCTGATACAGATCAGTTCGAATCATATTGAACATTGCATTACTTACAAGACCGTAGGTCATTAGCAAGGAAGTCTTGAAACAAATAAACCCGACGTGGTTTATTGTATGCACCTGAATTTTTCCCTAATGTATAATTAATGAATCAAGTGGAATAGGGAATAATATTTCATACAACTTTACTAAACTGGAATGATCTTATGAAAGACCTGACTGATACCAAAGTAGTTTGCATCCTAAATCAAATCATCTGGAGAAATACTAAAGATCGAGGAGCAGCTGCTTCACCACTACAGAGTACCACGAACCTTTATCAACCTCATTCAACAGCTATATGACGACGCCACATGCCAAGTGATTCATAATGGAAAGCTCAGTGATACCTTTGAAGTGAAGACAGGAGTAAGACAAGGCTATCGCCTACTATCACCTATGACCTTCCTGATTGTAATCGACTCGACTGAACTGGATCATGCAGCAGACAACTGTGACGAGCGAGAAGATGTGCATACACTGGCTGGACCGATGAAAAGACCCTATATGATTTGGATTTTGCCAACGATGATGATTTATGTCTAATATCTATCTTGTCACCCAAACTCAAATATCTATAGGCGAAGAAAACCAAGAAGTTGAGAGAAGAGGCAGGTGAGAGCAGTGAAGACGGGGCTTCAAGTGGATGCAGAGAAGACAGAGGTGATGAAGATGCTCAACCACCACCACCAGCAGCAGCAGCAACAACAACAACAAGAAGAAGCACTGATCACAATGAACAGGAGAAATCCAGAGGAAGTAGTCTTTTTCACCTACCACTCTACCTAAGCAGCATCATTTCAACTACAGGCAGTGGCGGCACAGATTTGGAAGTCAAAGCCGGTATCGGAAAGACAACAGGATAGGCCTTCATCAATGTGAAATCAGTGTGGAGATCTATTGCACTCCACTCGACCAGCATAAAGTGTGAACAAGATCCGGATTTTCAACACTGATGTCAGTCAAGTGAGTCAGTGCTTCTGTGTGATGGTTGAGAGAATTGGTGGTGCGTTACGAAGAGCATTTGCAACAAACTGCAAACACATATGATCAGTGGCTGCAGCCTATGCTCACCCGATACTGAAGATCAGATGTCGATAGTAATAAGAATAAGCAACAGTGAACTCTGTGTCAGTCTGGCTACGAGCCAACCAAGAACCTGTCACCTAAGAAATATGCAGGCGAAATTGGAGATGGATTGGTTTGGACGTACACTTAGAAGACCGTTTGGGGACATCACGCACTAGGTCGGGCCAGGTGATCTAGTGGAACCTGAATGGGACACGACGAGTTGGGTGTCGGAGGCGAGGGTGATATGGAGGAGATGATGTGAGGAAGAAATGAAAGCTTGTGGGTGGTCGTTGAATGAGTTTCAGAAGACTGCAGAGAAGAGGGTGCAGTGGCGACGTGGTACTGAAGCCGTATGTTCCACTCGGAACCCAAGGGACAAATAATAATGTAGTAAGTAGGGAGCAATGATGGCTTATTTCATCTTATTTTAAGACTAATCAGCAGTGAATACTCGCAATAGCATCATATTAACTAAATGAATGAGTAGTAACATTTTAGTCACGAAAAATAAGAGTAACGGGCTTGACTATGTATTAGATCGTGGGTGTCCTTAACGGTTAAAAAGATGATGTCAATCTGTGGTATGATTACCCTTCAACCACCTAGTTAGTATACTACTGTTGATGAAATAACCAGAGAGAGCTTTATTTGGCAGACTTATCTTTATGATTGAAGTGAACAATACTTTAATGACGACAAGATTCGAACAACTGGCTTTGAGGGTTTATAGCTGAGTCGATAAAGTACAAAACTTGTCTAATCCATACTGAAGTCCAGGTTTTCTGTCAACTCCAACTATTATTATAGTGCATACAGATCAGTTATGTCATATACCATTATTTTAGACACACTAACTGGGTAGGATTGGTGAAGAACGACAGTACCCTACACATCACTGAATCATCGGACAGACAAGTGAAAATCTCTGTAGTAGAAATAAATTTCAAATCTAGTAAAGTACTGTCTGAATCTGGCAGTTCACTTTCTAAAGCGCTAGATAGATTTTCTCGAGATTCTTGTGTGATGACTTATGATCTGAATTTCCCTTCATTTTTCATGGTTGATGAATGGGCTGCTACGACTAGCAGTTGAAGATTTTTAAGTGTTGAGTGCACGAAGTGAAAAGATAACACATTTAATCGTCAGTGATAGTCATATTTTAGTCCTAATAAAAACATCCTTCTAAAAGATACATTTTCATGATACCTAGTCGACTTGCCTGTCTTGCCTAGTAACCACCCAACCTCAACACTGCTGACAGAATGATTTCGCCGAAAGTGAGTAATGCTATAAAGACACCTGTGGCCAAATCCCTCCATGTCTTCTACTTTTAATGCCGTATAACAGAGCAGTATACTTATCCATTGATAGATACTCGGATATCCGGCTTACTCCACAGATGACGTAAGTTCACAAGGGCCTTCTGCATTTTGTCAGCAACTACTCCATCCGAGCTGATGCAACTCCCCAAGTAAGTGAAGTGGTCGTCACATTCCACCACTTCCCTCCCTATCATTAATCTGGGAGCATTTGCCTGGTTTTCTCGAATTTGGTTTTCTTCGGCTCCAGTTAGGTATCAGATAACTATGGAGCCTAGGATCCTGGACGCAATATTAGTCGATCTAATTCCTTCGTGGTTGACAAAAGAAGAAATCTCTTCCTTCTTATAGACCGGGATGAGCAAAGAAGTAGTCCACTGTGACGGCACCACCTCTGACACTCATACAATACCTAGTACCTCCCTCACTTTAAGCAGCAATTTTCTGCCTCCACCCTTGAAAACTTCTAGTGGCAAACTGTCAGGTCCTGCTGCTTCCCGTCGTTTCATGTTCGATACAGCTTTCTCAAATTTAGTGAGAGTTGCGAGACCGACATCTGCATCCCATTCAGGTCCAGGCTAGCTGGATGTTAGGCAACTGAAGCGTTGCTGAAAGGCGGTTGAACTGTGCTTCAGAGTGTTCTGTGGAACATTTTAGCCGCTTGTCCTGGGAGGTTGTCACCATCTAATCCTTTTCGGTGATGGTTGTAATCAACATCGTCTTCTTCTTACCAGTAGGCTTTACAAGTCTTCGCTACCCACCACTGCTCGCAATCGACGTGGAGACTCTTGGTCAACTTACATTTCAGTTGTTTTCGTCCTTCACCGTGGTCACACCCAACTGGAACCAGTCTTCTCGTATCAGCCAGTTCGGACGACGTCACCGGAATCCAGTGACTTTTGATAGCCTTAGGGTGTAGGTTACCAATTATCTTTAAATTTGTTTATACGGCAGACTTAATATCACGCCAGGTTTCCTCAGGATAAGCATTGTTGCCATGTTCAGATAAATGCTTAACTGACTCCTCCCGAAATACGTACTTGACGTCCTCATCCTCCGGTCAACTCGAGACAGGCTTTACTATCGCCTATTTTCTGCTACCAGTAAGATTCAGATATGCAGATGGCTGCAATAACGCACGGTCGGTGTCCAAACAGGTACTCCAGAAAGAGCGATAGTCTACCAATCCTCTACAACGATGACTTATAGCGATACGATCTATCGGTGTCCATCGTTGGTTTAATGTTGGGGAACGCCATGTGGGGAAATTTCCTTTCCTTATGCTTAAAGTTAGTCTTGGCTATAAACAAGGGAATGTCAGAACAAAATTGCAACGGATGATCACTGTTTTCGATCCGTTGACATGGGACTCCGTAAATACCACCAAGATGCCTTCGGATTGGCTCAGCTTCCCACGTGAGCATTAAAGTCACCTGCCATTACGACTTTATCGGAACCTTTTGCTTCCTGTAGCTAAGTTGACAGCTTCTCATAGAATTCATCTTTTATTATTATTATTATTAGTCCCTTGGGTTCATAGTGGAACATAGGGCTTCAGTAGCTCGTCTCCAGTGACCTCTGTTCTCTGAGATCTTTTGAACCTGGCTCCACGACAGCTCAGAAGCTCTCATTTCCTCCTCGCACGACCTCCTCCATGTCACCCTCGGATGTCCAACACGTCGCTTCGCATGGGGATTCCACTCGAGTACCTGGCCTGACGCATGATGTCCCCAGTCGGCCTTCTCAGTGCATGCCCAATCCATCTCCAGTTCTTCCTGCATATTTGTTGGGTGATAGGTTGTTGGTTGGTTCGTTCCCAGAGCTTCTTGTTGTTTATTCTTTCTGGCAATCCATCTGATCTTCAGTAGCGAGTGAGCGTAAGCAGTTGTTGATGAATGTCTGTAGTTTATTGGAAATCCCTTTCGTAACGCGCCAAGTCTCTGAACCATACAGAAGCACTGACTTGACTTGAGTTGGTGTTGAAAATCCGGATCTTGTTCACGCTTAATGCTGGCTGAGTGCAGAAGATCTCCACACTGGTTTCAGGCTAATGAACACCTGTCTTGCTGTTTTTACGATTCTGACTTTGACGTCCTCGTCCGTCCCGCCTGTAGTTGAAACAGTGCTTCCTAGATAAGTGAAGGAGGTTACTTCCTTTAAGTTTCTCTCGTTGATGGTGATTGGAGTTTGTTTTTGTTGTTGGTGGTGCGGTATCTTCATCACCTCTGTCTTCTCTATATTCATTTGAAGTCCCGTCTTCCTTCGCTGCCTCGCTTCTCCTGTCAACTTGTTAGTTTTTGCCTGCAGATCTTCAAGTTTATGTGACATTAGGCACAAGTCATCGGCGAAATCCACGTCTTCTAGGTTCTTTTCCGCAGTCCAGTGTATCCCCCTCTTCTCGCTCCCCACTGTTTGCTGCATGATCCAGTCCACCACAATCAAGAATATCATGGGGGATAGTAGGCAACCTTGTTTCACTCCTGTCTCCACCTCACTTCAAAATCATCACTGAGCTTCCCATTGTGAATTACTTGGCATGTGGCATCTTCATATAGTTGTTGAATGAGGCGGATAAAGGTTTGAGGTACTCCGTAGTATTGAAGCAGTTTCCAAATTACTTCTCGGTCGACGCTGTCAAAGGCCTTCTCAAAGTAGATAAAGTTGAGGTAGAGGGTTGACTGCCGTTCTATACTCTGGATGTTTTATATATATATATATATATATATATATATATATATATATATATATATATATATATATATATATATATATATATATATATATATATATATATAAGTAAAAGTCAGCGTCATCTTTAGCAAAAATTGAGATCCTAAAACCACCCGCCTGAATTTTAATGTATCCACCATCTCTATATCGTGCTAGCAAGAAGTGATAGGAAGTGTAAAGTAAGTCCTGACTTATAATAAACCCTTGCCAATGATAGTATAGATTACTTGAACGGGAACTTTAGAAAAATGTTAACGACCAGTTACAGGCCGTACTTTTAAATATTCCTGTGTAGGATCCTAAAAGTCTTTCAAAATGGCTCCAGCCGTATTTTTAGAATTATTTTTGGACAATGTTTGCAATCGCTTTGCATAAGCTGAAGAATGATACGACCGATATACTTGGCTCAGCAGGAGCAATTAAACTGATATACACATGTTGATATGACCCAATGCTCTGGCTTATCCTTTGCGCGTTGACAAATAAGTTTCTGACAGAAGAATTTGATTCTAAGATTGGCGGTAAAAAGTGTTCAGTTTATGGAGCTTGATAATCTTTTTCTAAGTATATCTGCCTCATTATCTCCCTTGAATTCGAGGTTCAGCAGTAGAATCTTTTTTGGAGCAGTTTGCACGAGTATTGTGGTGTTTATCGTCTTAACGTTCTTATCTACATTTTTTATTAGTATTTCTCTCAAGTTTTCTTTTTCATCATGGATGGTGTTCACCATGCATATTTTTCGTATTCTTGAGGAGAGTTAAATTGATAAGATTACTATTTCTGCTTAAGAGCACACAGTTTTGAAAACTGATAAACTGCCCGCTCCAAGTGGACTTTCAGTAAATAGATCTCTGAAATAGATTGTCATCTTTTCTTTGAAGTTAAACATCAAGGAAGTGGAACTTCAACTTTGATTCTTCTTCTAGAGTGAATTTGATAAAGGCATGAGGATTACTTAAGTTTTGAAGCAGGTTCCTGAGATTCGTATTCTCTTCACAAGTAATAAAGATATCATCTATGTATCTTTTGTAGAAATGAAGCTCGCTGATTACTTTCGATATTCTTGTGTCTTCTAGGCTTATCATAAGGCAGTCAGCTAGAAGGGGTCCTGCAGGGGATCCCATTAGCACGCCGTCTATCTGTCTGTAGATTTTGGAATAATGGTTTGAATTATGGTTATTGTGTGTAAATATTCACAAAACCTTTGAAACATCCGTCCACCTGATGAAAGTTTCTCATCTTTAATATATTCATATCAAACTGGTGGTTTGTAGGGATTGATTATGTTAAAATAGTTTTTCTGACAAATCATATCATTTAGAGAACCTGAGAAAAACATGATCAACGTACACTCGTCACTTTGTGAGGATTAGAAATGAGGGTCGTCAGTTTTGGTGGACTAGACTGTAATCCAGTAGTTCGTACTTTCCTACTTCTAATTCTCATTGTAGCGTGACTATCTTCCAGTGTCATCCATGGACATATCTTTGAATCTCCGACTTCATTGACATACTTGAGAAGTTGATTCATAGAATCAATCAAATTTGCAAAGATGATGGATGTTCAACGATGACATCCGATGATGGTCGAAATATTTGGCAAAATCACAAAGATATTCAAAATAGACTAAGGGCATATAGATGAACAAAGAATTACGTAATCAAAGGATGCTAAAATCTTCGGGAGTATTCAGTCCCTACAACTTGTAGTTGGCTGCAACTAATAGACAAGAAGCCATGGATCTAGGATTTGTTCCTGTTGGTATTGATCATAAAGGCATATCTGTGACCCTGAGGGAAATAATGTCCCTTCATGGATTCGAACCCATGTCACAAAGTGTTTCAGTCGGACAGCTTACTACTGAACTATTTGGTTATAGATGAACCTTGCTGATGATTGCCAACAAGCACGAAACCTATTTCTGAGGCTTCCTCCCGACTACTTCGTATTAACCAAAGTTCTCGACGGTGATGAGCCTCTTAGCTAGGTAACCACATTACAAGTTAATCGATATAATTCGGTGAGCATTTAGGATTGAACAACATGAAGTTGGTTACTCCTCAAGTGACCAAACAACGAATCTCAACATCTCTTTGGAATTAGTTTTTGAGGATTAAATATGATTTATCTCATTGTTAGATTTGTATTAGTGGCCAATATAACAATATTACTCAGTTGTACTAAAGTTGTATTATCCAACAGAGAGTGAGTGGACAGTTTAGATTTTGTCTAAACTACACTTTGAAACAGTTTCATTTAAATCGTATCAATCAGTAAATATTTTAAAATGAAATTATTATTCATCTTACTCGATAATACAATGCATCATTATGTGGACCATCTTGAAACATAGGTGGACCGTATTGCCAATTTTGACACCTTTTCTTATTTCGATAAACTTTTAATGGATATCCAGTTAAACCATCAATTATAGTTTGACAACATGATTCTGGTACAAATTGATAGTAAGGAGTTGTATCTGAAATTTATTGATTCAATAATTAAAATTTTTAAGTGTATATTTCAATAGATTAATTAAAGCGAGTTAACTCAAAACTGTAAACCAACTAAAAGTATATGTAAGTATTTATTTAAAGAATTATGTAAGCAAATAGTGTAAGATTACAAGGTGAAATAAAGAAAAGCAAATCTGATGCATTTAATTGCAGATTAATATGTTAATTAGCAGTAGGAATAATAGTATGCTTTTCGACCTACTTAGAATTCATCAATTGATTACTCTTTGAACTCTTGGGAAATACCGCTGAGATTTGACTTTTCGATATATCTATGAAATACATCAAATTGTTAGATACACCTAATCACCAATTTCTAAAGTCATCAGGTAGCGTCGACCGAGAGGTAATTTGGAAACTGCTTCAATACTACGGAATACCACAAACCCTTATCAGCCTCATTCAACAACTATGTGAAGACACCACATGCCAGCCATGTAATTCACAATGGGAAGCTCAGCTTAGTGATGGTTTTGAAGTGAACTGGAGATAGGAGTGAAACAAGGTTGCCCACTATCCCCCATGATATTCCTGATTGTGGTGGACTGGATCATGCAGCAAACAATGAGGAGCGAGAAGAGGGGGATACGCTGGCTCGACCGGTGAGAAGATCCCAGAAGATTTAGATTTCGCCAACGATTACTTGTGTCTGATGTCACATAAACTTGAAGATCTACAGGCGAAAACTAACAAGTTGACAGAAGAGGCGAGGCAGCGAAGGAAGACGGGACTTCAAGTGAATATAGAGAAGACAGAGGTGATGAAGATACCGCACCACCACCACCACCACCAACAACAAACTCCAATCACGGTCAACGGGAGAAACTTGAAGGAAGTAACCTCCTTCACTTATCTAGGAAGCACTGTTTCAACTACAGGCGGGACGGACGAAGACGTCAAAGTCAGAATCGGAAAAGCAAGACAGGTGTTCATTACCTGAAACCAGTGTGGAGATCTTCTGCACTCAGCCAGCATTAAGCGTGAACATGATCCGGATTTTCAACACCAACTCCACTCAAGTCAGTGCTTCTGTATGGTCTAGAGACTTGGCACGTTACGAAAGGGATTTCCAATAAACTACACACATTCATCAACAACTGCCGCCTACGTTGACTCGTTACTGAAGATCAGATGGCCAGAATAATAAGAATAAGCAACAAGGAACTCTGGCCGGGCAACGAACCAACCAACAACCTATCACTCAACAAATATGCAGTGGAAGGAAGTGGAGATGGATTGTACTGGGCATAAACTGAGAAGGCCGACTGGGGACATCACGCGTCAGGCCAGTCGCTCGAGTGGAATCCCCATGGGAAGCTACGAGTTGGGCTTTGGAGGTGAGGGTGACATGGAGGAGATGGTGCGAGGAGGAAATGAGAGGTTGTGGGCTGTCGTGGAGCCAGGTTTAAAAGATTTCAGTGAACAGAGTTTACTGGAGACGTGCTACTGAAGCCATATGTTCCATTAGGAACCCAATGGACTAATAAATAAATAAATATGATAAAAGTCATCAGGTGGATTTACATAATAGTTTCATCTCAAGTGTCATACAAAATTTCATCCTTGTTTTATTCCTTATTGTTCTTCTTCTTCACTCCACCTAACTTCTTCCTTATTTCTTTGTTTTCGCTTTAGCGTCTTCTATACTCTTATACTGATATAAGGCATAGCAAATTGAACCATCATACAGTAATGTCAAGTCTCATGTTAATCTTTATTTGACCATGTAATGAGTATTAGTAGTTATTCAAGAGTTAATGGACTGATCTAACTAAGTAATATTGGTGTATTGACGTTATAGGGTAAGCAGATACTGAGATACTGTTTTGGATTAGCACTTTAGACACTTTTTAAGGTTCAGTAAAGTATATCTGTAAATCAGATTTTAAGCATTAACATCTAAAAATTAAACTTAAAAATTAAACTTCTACTGAAATTAACTTACCTCTTTGATAGATCTAAAAAAATGAATAACATTTAATTTAAGCTTAGTTAAACACAAACCATTAAAGGATCTTCTAAAGCATTATAAATGGTATTGAGGCCAGTTTAATAAACTGCATCTATCTTCCAGACAGTTTTATCAGTCAGTTGATCTGTCTCTCTAATCCATCTCTATTTGGATTATGATGAATAAACTTTGTTAATCAGCTAGTGGAATGACAGCCAGAGAAATCATTTCATAATTCAAAGTGACACTGAGACTTGATGTGCAGTTGGATCCTGTAGTTCCATTTAGCAAAGGACCATTTCAATAATCTGAAGTGATGAGAAGTGACCAGTGACAAAAATTAACATTTTAAGCCAGTGGACAATGAAGCAGATACTTTTGGGTGTCAGTTTCTCATTGATGCTGCTTTCTGATCAGGGTGATCTTAGTGGATAAACCTTTTAATTGGCATATATGGTACACTTCTGCCTAGCAAGAGTAATTCTTGCAGTCACATTTTGGGGCTCAGTGAAACACATGGAACTCGACAAGGCGGCAGCCATTATAATACACGCACAGTTTGAGGATAGTCACTTTCATTTTTAGCCTTTAAACATCACTCTTCATTACACGGAAAACAATCCATCATGCCAGGCGTATTTTAGAAATTCGCGCCATCAAAAATTTTGGTTCTCAAAGTTAATCACATTTGTGTACATGAAATCAGTGGATAAGCATGAGTCAATAAAATGCTTTGTACAATAAGTTTGCGGACTATAAGGCTCTCTCATATCTAATGATAAACGGTGCTGAAGTAACCGCTTGCAAGAAATTGCGTGAATTTCAATCAATTCGATGAGTAGAATAGTAGATATCATACGTTAAGAAATTAATCAAGTCCAGCGTAATGGTTAACAATGAAACGTATATTCAACAATATTCACAATTTGGATACAGTTGATTGTGATTGGTTAATTTCATGTCACAGAAAGTGTTACTGTTGCTACTTCATTAAAACAAATGAAGTTTAGATGTCACGAATGAATCAACGAATATTTATGCCTCTTAAGATTTACTGATGGGTGTCAGCAAACCTAAAACTTAGCTTTATGACTTTCTATGATTGATTCATAACGTTTATTAATGGATATTATAATGAAATAATGGAGAATATTTGTAGCTCAGGTGGATGGTCTTGGTTGTATTGTGTTCTCTCAGCTGGGTTGTTTAATGGTGAAGCTTTCCATCGTCTTTCTAGACGATATCATCAGCACTAACTGCAGTATGAAGTGAGTGATTTAGTAGCTCGTTCTGACGATATGGTTTGTGATTTGGTTGTTTCCTTCGATTGTTGTGTCATTGATTGTATAAACTTTCCTGTTGACTGTTCCTCTGCTTCATCTTTGACCATTCTGTTGTTTATCATTTTTCTTATAGCTATGAAACGCCACGACATTTCGTCACTCATTTCAATGCATGTGGATGATTTTGGACATGAATTCAATTTCGACAATGTAGAAATTTTGGACAGAGGAAACACAAAGAATGTCAGAGAATTTCTAGAAGCTTGGCATTCAGGTCAGTCAGCAATCAATAGGTGCATAGACATAGACTCGATCTATCAACCAATAAGAAAAATGATAAACGACAGAAAAGTGAGAGGTGAAGCAGAGGAACAGACAATCGAAGAACAACAACAACAATAATAGAAGAAGACAACCAATCACAGACCAGATCGTCAAAACAAGCTACTAAATAACTCACGGAGAGATATTGACAGGTCACTTCATATTCAAGTTAGTGCTGATGATGTCATTGTCTAGCAAGGCGATGAAAGTTTCACGATTAAACAACCTAGCTCAGAGAACACAATACAACTAAGGACATCGTGATGCTGTAACACGTAGGTTAGTGAAGATACAACCAAAGGAGCCAACAGACTTTCATCAGCACTTAAGACTTAACAGATATGTAGATGACAATCTGAGGATCAATTTACGCTTGTTAATCAATGTGAATACTTAGATTTTAATCGCTTAAAAGCGCTATTATACTCTATTGCTTCTGACTTGACTTTCCAGACTTCTAAGCCATATCCAACAAATAATCATGTAGAAAGAATTTATGTGTTAATATGATCTCAAGTTATTACTGGTTCTTCCTTATTTCTTCAGTCACATTTTGTGTGTTACTTGTAAGAAGAATAAGTATATTTCAGCTAAGAGTCTTATTTTGGCGATTTCATTTTCAAGGCTGTACAATCGCAAATTTATACATTCTTCTAGTATAAAGATTTGATAATTAATAACGATTTGTCAAGCGTGACAATACAAATAGTGTCAATAAATGAGTTGTCATTAAAATTTTAAAAAAAAACCGAAAAAAAACTGATGAGTAGTGAATATTCATCAAAACAAGTTTGGACAAGAAGTTTTGTAACATGATGACGACATAAGTGGAAACTGAATTGTGATCTGGTAGAATATAGCAACTAAGCAACAAGGAACTCTGGGAAAGAACCAACCATTGGGTTGGGCATACACTGAGAAGGCCGATTGGGGACATCATGCACCAGGCTAGGCCGTCGAGTGGAATCCAAAAGGGAAACGACGAGTTGTGCATGTGAACCGATGGTGACATGGGTGAGGTGGTATGAGGAAGAAATGAAAGCTTGTGGGCTGTTGTGGAACCAGGTTTTGAAGACTGCAGAGAACAGAGTGGAATGAAGACGTGTTACTGAAGCCGTATGTTCCATCAGGAACCCAAGGGGGGAAAATAATAGAACATAGCAACAAGAATGAGTAACAAATTACTTAAGAAGTGAATAGTGTCAAAACAGGAAGATGAAAAGAATAAAGGGGGTAGAGGAGACAGAAGATTAAGACCATGAAAGCAGAAGGGGTTGAACAGTCTTCTTTTGCATACACAGTTCAGGCTTCTCCATTTGGATGACATACAGCCTTTCGGAGGTTTCTTTTCACTTTGTAGATGACGTTGAACGAGGAGGTTCTTGAGACAGGGTGATTCGTGTTC